CTTGGTTGTGGGCACATCCCCAGTGGGGGGGTGGGCAGGAGGCGGCTGATCAATGTTTCTGGCTCTCTATCTCTCTCCCTTCCTCTCTGTAAAAAAAATCGATAAAATATATTTTAAAAAGAGAGAGAGAAAGCATATTCTAACCTGGCTGAGAGCTGTATTTTCTGCGACATGGGAGCTGACATCGGAATGCAGTCATCCTCCTTTCCCAAGAACAGCTTATCATGAAAAGATTTACAATCTTGTTGCTGAAACCATCTAGTCCTGGAGGCACCCGCTCTGTACCACCACCAGCTCCTATTGCCTGTAATCTGGGCCTGGGGCACCTGGAGGCGCCAGCCTTTTGTGACCCCCCACCCCTCCAGCCCGCATGCTGTGTAACCTGCAATGATAACACTGTGCCTACTTTCCCATGCTTGTAATTCCTACTTTCCCACGTAATCTCTGTCCTCCTACCCAATATAAGCGGCTGGTTTATGAAGAGGGGAGAGCAGATTTTTCTGGATGACCTGCTGCTCTCCCAATCTGCCTGCATTATTAGAATAAACGCTCTTATATTATTCAACTCTGACTCTGCTCAATTGGCTGAAGTAGTGACACGCAGCCCGGACACCTTGGTTATCCAGTTACATCACCTGTCGACTCTAATGGGATGTAAGCGAGGGACCGCTCTGGGGTGAGTACCGGGGATCTCACTTGCTGCCTGGACCAGGGTCCTGGGACTGAGGCCTGGACTCTTTTATCCAAAGCATGGCCCGGAATTTTTCTGTTTTGAAACCCAGCCCCAGCCTCGGCAATCCCCATCATCTCATCTAAGGTGTGAGTTGAATCAAGCGTTTCTGTATGACAGGAGGAGGAAGCAGATGAGCCTGATCAGGACCTGGTGGCAAGAGACCTCCAGCGGTCCTTGCCTGGTCTCTGAGTCCTATTCTGATCCACTCTGGGACGAGAGGCATTGCTCTGCTTCGGCAGTTTTATAAACACAGGGCATTCTGAGGTCCCTGTGGCTGGACAGACAAGGAGCATAGTGTGAAGCGCTTGTCTGTGGGTTGTGTGCACCTGTAAATGTTGCACATAGGATGCCTCTGTTGATTGTTGTTTTGTGTCTCTCTGTTGTTGGGTTTAATGTATTTAAAGATAGGAGTGTATCCCACTTGGCTGTGGGGCCCCAGCTGCTTGTGGCAGACTGAACCTGTGGCAGGGATTGCAGGAACTTCCCAGCAGCTGCTGTGTTCTGAATCTTGGGGACCGTCCTTGCTCTCCCTCTCAAAGCATCAGCCGCCGGAAGTTCTTAGCTAGGGAGAGCTTGCCTGTCTGTAGTGTAAGTGGGTTAAGGATGTTCCTTGCTTGCTTTCACATCTTTTGAGGACTTGGTTTACTCTTCACCCTTCTATGATCACAGGGAGTCCTCTGTTTCTGCTGTCTGGGCTTTGAGCCTCTCAGAACCAAAGGCCACCTGCTGTTCCGGGTTAGTGTAAAATAAGATTCTAAGGCTAATGTCCCAGTCCCTCCTTCTGGGAGTGCTCACCCATTTGGGGTTGTTTTTGTTCCTATTTTGAAATACGATAAGATCTCTTCTTATATGCAAGGTTTCGTGTTGTTACAGTCTACTCCGAAGGACAATTATGGGAAATAAACCTAACCCTCCAGAGTTTTTCTCCTAGAAGGGCCAGATTTACAAAAGTGCCCTCAGGCTGGGGGCACTCCCACTTTGTAAAGAAAAAGAAGCCTTCGTTAACAAAACATTGAGGTTATGCTAGTTGAAATAGTGAAATTATTAAATAGGTATCTTGAAGTAAATTGATACTGAAATATTGATTAATCTCAGTTTGCCTAGTTTTGATCTCATTACAAAAAGGCTCAGGGTGAGTTGCTGTGAACGAGGTTTTGTGTGTTGGCCTATAAGAGGGTACCTGTGTCTCTTGTAGACTCTGTCTCTCCCTGCCAGACAGGATCCCTGCTGAATTTCACAGCCAAGCGTTAACTGTGCGCTTCTTCCCAGCTCTGGTGGGTGCCCTGGGCTTGGGATCCTGGTTTGAAGATGAGACCCCGCACTTCTTGGGGGAAATTTTGCAGCTGAGATATGTCTCCAGAATCCCAGGCACCAGCATCTCTGCCCTTCTGACGAGTCTTTCTTTAAATCATTGCTTATAAGACTTCTCTTCAGCTAGTCTTCAGTTGGTTATTCAGAGTGGCTGCTCTATCTTTTAGTTATAATTCCAGTTTGATCCTGGGAGGAGGTGAGTGTAACATCTAACTACTCTGCAACCATCCTGGATAAAAATACCTTCTTTTAAAAAAAATGCTTTTAAGAGAGCATTCTCAGAAACCATCCTTAACCAGCCTTAGTTCTATATTTCTGGGCCAGCTTGCTCTAATCATTGCTATCTCCTGGTCTTTGTAGAAATAGCTCATGGTGCTCTGTAAAGTCAGGAACAAGGGAAAAGAGGATTCACAGGCAGCACCCTGAAGGCAGAAGGGGGCCCAGGCCAAGCCATCCGCTCCTGGCCAGCCCCATTAGTAAGGGGGAGGGATTTTCTTCTCCTTGGGAGAGGCCAGGCAGTGAGTTAAAGAAAACATGTGCATCTTTATCAATTTGGGGTTTCGAGTAGTTGTAACATATGTGTTTGTACCCGAATTCCTACCCTCAGGGGTGGGAGCACAATAGGAGAACTCAGAAAGCAGAGCTGTATGGAGAGACCAACCTCTGGGAAGACCAACCTGAGTCGGCTGAGGCACGCTCTTAACATGTTTTCTTATGGCGTGGGCCATTTCAGCCTGTTGATCATTTTTGTAAGTGCTGGGGATATTTCAGGAAACAATGTAATGCTCAGAACAAAAATACAGAGTCGTGTGTATTCTTTTAGGAGCTGCTCATGACACTTGCTAAGAAATCAAGATCAGATAGCCCAGAAGCGTGACTCAGTGGTTGAGTATCAACTTATGAACCCACGGTTCGATTCCCAGTCAGGGCGCATGCTCAGGTTATGGGCTCAGTCCCCAGTGTGGAGTGTGCAGGAGGCAGCCAACCAATGATTCTCTCTCATCATTGGTGTTTCTATCTTTCGCCCTCACTCTTCCTCTCTGAAATCAATAAAAATATATATATTTAAAAAAGAGGGGGAGAGAGAGAGAGAGAGAGAGAGAGAGAGAGAGAGAGAGAGAGAGATCAGATAAATGCCTTGGGGGCTGATGCCCTGAGGACCCTGAAGACACATGGCCCTCAAACAGTCCACCAACACAAACATGCTTCAACTTTCCTGCAGAGCACTCCAAGGGAGAAAGACAATGAAATCTACAACAAATCACTGGACTCATGCAGCAGGAAGGCGATGAGTCTGACTAGTATGGCTAAATGATTTCCCCCACCAATGTATTCTCAGAAAGGGATGAAGGTTCCCTCCCATTGACCAGGGTGGACATGCTGGAGAAAGGCTGGGTGATACTCTTTGCAGTTCATTTTAAATGAGAGGAATGTTGCAGTTCTAAAGATAAGAAAATATTTTGAGTAAACTTTTGAAGGTGGAGAAAGAAAGATCGGGCTGGGTGGGCCTCAGTCACGGGCAGGTCCCTCACTGGGTACTCTCTGCTTGCATGTTGTAAAGCTCCTTACTTCTGCCACCTGATCTTCCAGTTCTTCAGTGTTTGATGTGGAAAGCATGTTGTTGATAGAGAATGGAGGGGAGTACAGAGGCTTTCTTCAAACAACACAGCTCTGCAGAGACTACCAAAGTTCAGGTTGAATTGAGCTGTATACTTAAATATATTGACATTCCACCCTTTCTCTCTCTCTAAAATAGGGGTGTCGAACTCAACCAGAGAAGGGGCCAAAATCTAAAATCCAGCCTAAATCGCGGGCCGAATGGTTTACTGAACAGTCATAAACTGTCATTGTGATGGAAACGCAGTGGAGTGCAGTGATGACAGCGCGGTGCGGGCCACATTGCAAGGCCTGGCGGGACGGATTTGGCCCGCGGGCCTTGTGTTTGACACATGTGCTCTAAAAGATAGAGAGGGGAGGGAGGGAGATGGAAAGAGGGAAAGGGAAAAGGAGAGGGGGGCAGGGAGAGGGGGGGGAAGGGAAGGAGGAGAGGGAAGGGAAAAGGGAGGGGGAGAGGGAGAGAGAGCTTTCTTGGCCTCATAGTTATTTGTGGTGGATGAGAGAATGTGCAGTTATTTCAAAAGTTCATCAAGTTTAGTTGAGGTCCCAGGGAGCAGGGAGAGGCTGGGCAGCAGCGTAAACATGATAAGAATGAGGTTTTATTGAGATCACTCTGCCAGAAATTTGTATTCTTCTGTGAGTGGTATTTGTGCCCTTGAGTCCAGGATAAGGTCAGGGGTGGGACCAAACAGCTAGATAAGGTAGAAACCAGTACACCTACCCCACCCCTTATGTACATACACCCTCTACCTCCATAGAACTGGTTTCTCTTTTGTTGCTATAATATGTTTGGCAACAATCAATCTCTTCAAATTTTTTATTTTCTACTGTACAGAAGAAAAAAAAAGAATCCAACAAACTTAAAACTCCAATTACTTGTGTCTTGATGTTCAGGTCTAATTCTTGCCCTGATGTTTGTATATAGTCATCGGTGTGAATCCACTACATTGTGTTCTAGCTTTTCACTGACTACGTTTTGTCTTTACATTCCCATGTGTGATAGTTATGTTCACTAAAAGTCCCAGGCATATAGGCCACATACACTGCCACTTTTATTAGCTACCAATGCCTAGCCATCCTCCAGCTGTTGGATTTGCAACGTTAGGGTAAATCTTTGCAGTTTTGAATAGGGGTGGCAGGCATCCCTAGGTGTCTTGTCCGAGAAAGGTATGCGATCTGAGCTAAACAGGAACATATTTCAACTCCCACCCTGTTTGCAGAGTTTGAAAAGTTCAGGCCCTGAAGAAATGAAATTAGCTGGGAGGTTTGGGCTGCTTATGATTTTATAACAGGTTATAGGTTTAAAGTCCAAAAGGGCTCGCATTTATACCCCACGTTTGACGTCTCAGACCTCAATCCAGAGGAGAGCGAGCTGAGCCGACTTTCCTACACCCCAACACACGACAGTGATATGAAGGCTCAGGAGGCCTGGCCCAGCCCTCTCCACCACAGTGTGTGGGAACAGAGGTACCAGCCACACCGGCATCTGTAGCTGCCAACCTACTTTCTCTGGATCTTCTGGAGTGGATCAGAGGTGCCCCCGCAGCCCACTATTGCAGAATAACAAGTGGGTTGGCTACAGGAGCTGCTGGGAGTGGCAAGAAGAATGAATGGTGAGCAGCAGTGCTGTGTGAGGCCCAGCAGGACCTTAGGCGATTCAGAAAGGAGAAGCACAGATGGAGCGGACATAGCCAGGAGCCAGCTAGAAGGATGTGATCTCCATCCTGTTGGCTAATAGGTGACGCTGATGCCCATCTGCCAAGAACCTGAACTGAATTCTTCAGGTTCTTGAGAGCTGGGAGATAGGGGGAGTGAAAAAGTCTAAAGCTCAGGAGCTGCTGATGCCTCATAAAAGGGGGCCTTTTCATCTCTGTCCTTTACTGTTTTCCTCTTCATGTGCACACCTGTAGTTTACATAAAGTATGTTTGGAGTGTTCAGCTTAAATGGAAGAACCTTCCTTATCTACGTGCAGGCCAAAACTGCCTCTTTATTTGTTATTCGCTTCCCAGCACAGCATCCAGGACCAAGTGAGTACTCCGGGGGCTTGGTTGAAGCAAGCCCTCTTCTTACATTCCTCTGAGTCACTGAGAAACTCCAGCAGGAGATTCCAGTCCCAAGTGAAGTCAATACTTTGTTCTTAAATAGAGCCTGGGAAGGACCTTGATGATTTGCTGTGGGTTTTGTTGTTGTTGCTTTTGTTTGTTTGTTTGTTTGTTTGTTTAAAAACTCTTTTTTAAAAAACAAACAAAATGTTTTTCTTTGATATTAGAGAGAGAGAAGAAGGGAAAAGGAGAGATAGAGAAACATCGAACATCTGCCTCCACATGCACACTGACTGGGAATCAAACCCGCAACCTGGGCATGTGCCCTGACCTGGCATAGAAACTGTGACCCCCCTTTAGTACATGGGTCGTCACCCAATCAATTGAACCAAACTGGCCAGGGCTGCTATATATTGTATTTTTGTTTTGTTTTGTTTTTTCCTTTTCAGAACTTGGTTGTGGTTTGATATCTTGTATAGGTTGGAAAATGTAGTTGACGTTATTGACTCTCACAGCAAATAGGATGTCTCACATTTAACAGGTGCACTTGTAACCCCATTAACCAGTGTAGTTTAAGACGGATGATGCGTTAAAACCAAAGCGAAGTAACATGGTTAATTCTCTTCTCCTTTCTCTGTGTGCCTTTCCAGCAGAGCTCTCAATCGCGGTGACATAGGTCGTGCACAAAGAATTCAGTTCAGATTCTTGGCAGATGGGCACCAGCGTCATCTATTAGCCAACAGGATGGAGATCACATCCTTAAATCCCCAGAAGCAACCATCACTGCACAAGGATGGAGAAGACTGTCAAGAAAATGGAATTCTACAGAAGGGTGTCCCCACCCCTGGGGATAAGGTGGAGTCCGGCCAGATCCCCAATGGGTACTCAGGGGTTCTGAGCCCTGGTGCAGGAGATGACACCCAGTACTCCATCCAGGTTGCCACCACCGCCCTAGTGGCTGAGGGTCACCAAGAGGAACGGGAGACCTGGGGCAAGAAGATGGATTTCCTCTTATCTGTAATTGGCTATGCCGTGGACCTGGGCAACGTCTGGCGATTTCCCTACGTATGTTACCAGAATGGAGGGGGTCAGTATCATGGGCCACAGGCAACCTTTTCTGTCTTGCTTAACTAATATGGGTCTGGGAACATGATCACTTAGACGTAGAACCCTAACTAAAAGATAAATCTCCAGACAAAATCTGCGTGTCTGTGGCTCTCTGGGCTGTGACGCTAAGTGAAATCTCCCAACCCTGACCTCAGCAGATCTTCAGCATCATCCACCACCATCAGTGCTCCCTTCCATCCCTGTATTATCCAAGCTCCTCTTCCACCCAGCGAGACCGGGGGATCACCAGCTGCAGTGTGCTGAGCTCCTTCACTCCTGCTCAGAGAAGTCCAGATCTGTGGCAGGAAAAAATGGGGAGGGGGGGAGTCTCGAGAGTCCAGACCCTCCTGGGCCTTTGGACCTGTGTGAGATCAGAAAAGGGTGTCACCTCAGGTCCAGAGTCTTAAGACACAGCCTAGGCATGATCCAGAGCTGAAACCAGGCAAACATGACAATACCAACTCCAGGCCATGCATGGGGCTGTGTCTCGTGTCTCCAACAAAAGGGTTAGGTTTTTGAGGCCAGTGACTATTTCTTGTTCCTCCTTCTACCCCTAACACCTTCAGAGCAGTGAACGTGTAGATTATGAAAAATAGCAGGCATGGATATGGGAGCCCCAAAGAGGGGAGTGGGTAGGTATGGGGCTGACATTGGACTTGCCATCAGCATAGGAAAAGGACAGGAGATGGGAGTCAAATCAGTAGATATTTATTTTGACAGGAGTTCTGACAATGGATTTGGAAGGGCAGCTAAAATAAGGTTGTGTGAGGGAAGGGGGAGGGGTGTAACTCATTTGTGTCCATCAAACACAGAACTTCCTGTCTTTGCTGCTTTTGAGGGCCATGGTCCATGCAGCTGCAAAAGCAGTTCCTGTAGAGGGGAGGGGAGCAGAGCCTTATCTCCAGCTTGGAAGGACTCACCTTTAGCCTGAGTGTTACTTAAGGTGCTGGGTCACCAGTGAGACACTCAGTCCCTGCGGTGAAGTCAGGCAAGCCAAAGCCCTTTGGACAAATGCCACAGAGAGAACACAACACGGTTCTTATGCTCCATCCAGATGTCCCCAGATTGTAAGTCAGGTGGGACCTTTCTGAGCGACACTGACTTCAGGCTTCTTGGTTCAAAGCACTTAATGGGAGGGCAAGTTGTCAGGGAAAATCACAGCTCATCCATCCTTTGGGCTGAAACTCAGGCTGCAGGTGAGCAGCCTTAACTCGGCATTTCCACGTTCTGCCTCAGCCATGCGAGACCAGCATGGCCACACACGCAGCAGCTCTGCCCTTTCCCAGTCTCAGCCACATCTGCCGAACTGGCTTGGGGGCAGTGTTCTGGCTCAGGGGAATTAAAGGCAATAGCTCACTACGGATCATCAATAGTGAACAAAGTTCTAATTCAGTGACTTGTAGATTATCGCACCTGTTTGTCACAGGAGATCTGACCCCAGGTTCCCAAACACTGATCCATGGACTGGCTGCATCAGAATACTCTGGGGAGCTTAAACGTTTTTTGTGAGACCCTGGAGCTTCTGCGTCAGGAAGTCTGGGTAGATGTATGTGGTTAAGCCACCAGTGAGTAGGATGGATGGCTGTGTATGGGAACCTCAGCTCTCCTCAACCCAGTCATGTGATAGGGGAGCCAATACTCAGAGAGGATATGTTGGCCTGGGAACTCCAGGCAGTTCGAAGTGGAACTGGTCCCAGTGCCTGTTCTGTTGACTCCCAAGCCCAGCTTTCTTTCCCTTTGCTCTCTGCCTCCTCCAAAACCTCACTTTCGCCATGCAGCTATGTTTGTGGCTACTCCTGGCAAAGCACCAAGACCAGCGGAGCACAGAGCGGCGGCACTCAGCACCAGGGCCATGGTCCATGATGCTGAGCGTCAGATGGCTCTGTGGCTCCCGGTGTGGAACCTGGTGTGCAGGTCGGTTGGGCCTTCCTGGGACAGATGGGGGAAGGGATTGAAGTTGTCTTTCATCTGCTTCAGGGGCGTTCCTGATCCCATACACCATCATGGCCATTTTTGGGGGGATCCCACTCTTCTACATGGAGCTTGTGCTGGGCCAGTACCACCGAAATGGGTGCATTTCAGTATGGAAGAAAATCTGCCCGATTTTCAAAGGTAACGGAAAGGCTCGAGTGGGTGGGTTTTCCAAGAAGCGGTGATTTCCACCTTTGGGCGGGAGCTGGGGACCTTCTGGAGTTAGGCCTCCGGTAACCCTGGGAAATAACTTGGGTACAATCATTAAGTTTTTGACTGCTCAAGTTGTAGGAGACTATTAAAGGGAAACAGAATGAATGACCATCAAAAGTAAACTGAATAGAAAAACTTAAAAGCATTGATAGCCACATACACAATTTCTGAAACATGTAACCTTGCAAATCCACGGAAGTCATTTTACCACATTGCCATTTAAAATATATATATATATATTTCCCCCCCCCCCCCCCCCCCCCCCCAGAGAGGAAGGGAGAAGGATAGAGAGCTAGAAATGATGATGAGACCAGCTGCCTCCTGCACAACCCCCTTCGGGGATGTGCCTGCAACCAATGTACATGCCCTTGACCAGAATCAAACCTGAGACCTTTCAGTCTGCAGACTGACGCTCTATTCCACTGAGCCAAACCTGTTTCGGTCACATTGCCATTTTTCCAAGGCCTCCCAGAGTCCTTGGGGAATGAAATGAGTGGCGGGCCCCTCCCCCTCCTCCATTCCGTCTTTCACTGTTGGGCTGCCTTTCACACTTGGCCTCCCTCCTCCTCTGCCCCAGGGATTGGCTACACCACCTGCATCATCGCCCTTTACACCGCCTTCTACTACAACACCATCATGGCCTGGGCCCTCTACTACCTCATCTCCTCCTTCACGGCCCAGCTGCCCTGGACCAACTGCGAGAACCCCTGGAACACGGCCAACTGCACCAACTACTTCTCGGAGGACAACATCACCTGGACGCCCCACTCCACGTCCCCGGCGGAGGAATTTTACACGTAAGTGCCTGTAAGGGACGGGGTGGTCTGTTGAGGGCGGGCCACATTCCTGGGGTTTGGCCCAGGCTGGATCTAGAGTTGGGGGAACTCTCCCTTGAGTGCTCCGTAACCATCGCTCTCTGTGCCATCTGGTCCTTTCCTACGTGCCAAGCCAGGCAGCTCTGACATGCCCAGGACGACCCCTACCGTCACATCCCAAAATTCCTCTCCTGCTCCAAACCTCCCTTCTTCCTGGGCCAGTATCATGGAAGCCAAGCCTTGGACCACATCAATAGTTTGAATATAGTCACATAGTGTCTAGTTTCGTGTGTTCACTTCCTAAGTGGGCTTTCCCCTTTGGCAGAAGATACCCGCAGTAGGGAGCATTGTTTAATGCTGCCTTTTGGCAATGGCAGCCCAAAGAGAGTGCTGGTTTGGGGTGGGGAAAGGGCCTTCTTCCCACACAGACAATCCTCGTGGCCCTGAAGCCAGTTGCGCTGGTCACGTCTCCTGGTTGGTCAGGCCCTAGCCAGGCACGGAGAGACCTGAAGACTGGCTTTGGGCTGAGCGTGTTCCCAGGGTTGGTCAGCTGAATGTGCTGGTCTCTCCTTCAGGCTGGGCAGAGCCAATCCCAGCTCTTGCTGAGGCTTAGTGCCCACTGGGTGCTTGCAGTGCCGTGTCCATTCCTTCTCTTGGCACCTCCTGCAGGTGTCACCAGCTGTGTGCTCAGGTCACCACTCGTACCATCTCCTGGGCCTTTCTGTCTCTTTCTCTCCAGGCGCCACATCCTGCAGATCCACAGGTCTACGGGGCTCCAGGACTTGGGCAGCATCAGCTGGCAGCTGGTCCTCTGCATCACGCTGATCTTCGCTGTTATCTATTTTAGCATCTGGAAAGGCGTCAAAACATCTGGCAAGGTAAGGAGACTCTGACTGCTGATCCAGGCCTGCCAAGCAGCCCCAGAGGCTCTCAAATTCAGAACTCGGTAGCCCGGACAGCCACAGACAGGGGGACATTTCCTTCTACACCAGACATCTTCCATGATGCTCAGTCTCTCTTCACCAAATCTATTAGAAAGTTCTAGAAATGGGCCAATCCCAAGAACGATTAGATGACTTCTAAAAAAAAAAATTTCTTTACCCCCCTGTTAGTGTTACAATTAATAGTAGTGGCAATAACTTATTGAACCCCCTCGTGGACCATGTCCAGTGCTTTACACTCACTGGCTATTGATTGTTTCCTGCTAGATACTTTGCCCACTTACAGGTGGGAGTGCATTTGGAGGTAGTTAGTACCAGCAAGCAGTGGGTCAGGTTGCTGGCTGATTCTAAAATCTGTGATCTTTCTACCACACCACCCTGCCTCCTAAAATTACAGGGGGGGGGGGGGGGAGAAAGAAAGGTAGACCCTTTCTTAGGGGTTTTTAAGAATAAAAGACACCAGCAGCCATGTGTCTCCTTCCTCACAGGTGGTGTGGGTGACAGCCACCTTCCCTTACATCGTCCTTGTGGTCCTGCTGGTGAGGGGGGCCACCCTCCCCGGAGCCTGGAGGGGGGTTCTCTTCTACTTGGAACCGAACTGGCAGAAACTCCTGGAGACAGAGGTAAGAGGATGAGGAAACGGTGTGCACCTATTTGTCATTTTACTAAGCGAAGCTAGTCCTCCAAAAAGGATAGTAGCAACAAGTAAAATTTGGGTTCAATGGCAGGTGTGCAATGATGCTTTAAATGAATTTACATACAACCCAAGAGATAAGGCCTGCGCTAGGACACCAGCTGGAAGTCCGATAATGAGCTCTTATATTAAAAGTGTCAGGATATCACTGTGGCAGTCTTATAACCTACAGTTGAGGGCCCCGGATTGGTTTATGCCTGAAAGAAGAGAAATTGCATTTGTTTGCATCTGAGATGTGGCCGTCCCTAGAATGGGCCTTGAGAGCTGCTTCTTTGTGTGGGCACGTAGTCATGCAAAAGCCCGAGTGTGCTGGGCCTGCTGGCACCCAGTGCTGGCCCAGGTCTCAGCCCTTACCCCACCTCTGCTGTGTTCCAGGTGTGGGTCGCTGCTGCCTCTCAGATCTTCTTCTCTCTGGGTCCTGGCTTTGGGGTCCTACTGGCTTTTGCTAGCTACAACAAATTCAACAACAACTGCTATCAGTGAGTATTGAGGGCCCTCCAAGCAAAACTGAAAAGTGGGATGAGTGTAAGTTAGCTGGTTGGGAGGAAGGTGATTGAATCAATGGTCTCCAACCTGGCTGGGGCCATATTGAGATTCTGATCCTCCTAGGTGCCACAGATCCCTGACCAATTCACCCAGGCCACCCAGGGGTTGAGAGAGGCCTCAGGCCACTTCCACTTTGTGAGAGTCTCTGTATACTAAAAACATTAATTCAGAAATGCTAAAGCAGGTTTTCAAAAATTACAACAGGCACTAAATGTTTATATTAGGCTTATTGTATTTAACAACACGATGATAATATGATAATTAGTTTATATATACAGGATGTCCCCCCCAAAATGTATACATACTTTGAATAATAATTAATTCCAATCAGTTAAATCTGAAAAGAAAAAATCATTAATTGGTCTATCAACAATGAATGTGTATACACTTTTGGGGACATCCTGTATATACACGAAAAATATGATTGAACTATGTTGACCAACACAAAATGCCATAATTCTTGTGGCAAATCTTATTTCAGGAATGTTGACAAAACAGAGAGCATTGTACCAATTGTGATTTAAATATCGCTCATCATCTTTAGAGTGGGCTTTGTTTTAGTGTTCTATCATAGATGGCAAGTTGCAGCAATCAAATTATGCTATTAATAAGATAATTACAGAACTTGTGTGTGTGTGTGTGTGTGTGTGTGTGTGTCTTTAAATGAATTTACAAACAACCCAAGAGGTATGGCCTTGCGTTAGGACACCAGCTGGAAGTCCGATGATGAGCTCTTCTATTAAAAGTGTCAGGATATCACTGTGGCCATCTTGTAGTCTCATTTGCCCAGAGTGTCAAAAGTCTAAATCTGAGGACTTCACAAATGTGAGGCCAAGGTCCCCTTCTGGCTCCCACTCCAACCCAGGCCCCACTTCACAGCAGCTGTGTTTGAACCGAGAGGTGGGTGCTGTGCTGGTTCACAACAGGACTGAAACCCACCCCTAACCTGCGGGCCTCCCCGCCACGTGAGCCCACAATGGCACTTTGTGCTTTGAGCTTGATCCAAGCTCTGGGAGGCCGGGAGCTGGGAGGAGAGGAGGGGACACCAGGTCAGGCTTGAAGTCCCTGTGAGCTGAGCCTACTCACCCTTGCTCCAGCTGGAGGCAAAGGCTCCTCAGACTCCTGATTTGGAAATATCTCAGCCCCCTTGGGTTTTCTGCTCCAGAGATGCCCTGGTGACGAGTGCAGTGAACTGCATGACCAGCTTGCTCTCCGGATTTGTCATTTTCACGGTGCTTGGATACATGGCTGAGATGAGGAAGGAAGATGTGTCCGAGGTGGCCAAGGATGCGGGTAGGACCGTTGTTCTGTTTAGGTCCCTTACTCCCAATGAATCGCTTTGCTGCTCGCTGCATCTGTTCAGTATCTAACTTTGGAGTTTCTTTTAAAAATTTCAAAGATTTTAGAAAAATGTAATGCCTCGAAGAGCTCAACCCTCTCCAGGCCATGGTAGGAATGGGGTGGTTCCCTTATACCAGGGCCTGGACTACACTGTGGGCTTCTCCCCTCTCCCCTCTGTCTCAGGCCCCACTCTTCTCTTCATCGCATACGCAGAAGCCATCGCCAACATGCCGGCGTCCACGTTCTTTGCCATCATCTTCTTCTTGATGTTAATCACACTGGGCTTGGATAGCACAGTGAGTGAATGGGGAGGGAAATCTGGCTCTGGGGAGGCAGAAGAGGAGGGAGGGAAGGAGGGGAGGAGGAAGGGGAGATGAAGGAGGAAGTTGCACCCACTCCCTCCCATCCTGGCCTGCCCCCTGTCCCCAGGGGCTCCCTAGCCCATTATTCACTCCTCATCAACTGCCCTTATCATCCTCTGGTAATCTAGAGTCATTAATGGGGTGACTGTGTGTATGTACACAAGCACAGGCCAAGGCTCAGCATATGTAAACTGTTATTACTGTCCACTGTCCCTCGACCAGATGGCAGCAGCTAAAGGCCAGGGCAAGGTCCCTCTGTGTCTCAGTGCCTGGCCACCCAACATCCAGCTCGACACTTTGCACTTGGTGTGGAGAAGGAGTCTTGGCTTTGAGTTGAAGGCTCCCCACATAAAAAGTTCTGTCCATATGCTATATTTTCTTTGCTTCATGTTTCTTGGGATGGGTTCTATACGACAGTGTAGACAGAAAAAATATATTTCCAGTGAGGGCTGGGGAATAGGGGAAACTGGTCATGATCAGCTTGACTGCTCACGCAGCAGTCTTAATCCCGCCTTCCTGGTTTCGGTCCTAGAAGGTAACAGGTTTGTCCCAAAGCCTCCCTGTGACCATTTGTGTGTGTCTCTCAGTTTGCAGGCTTGGAGGCAGTGGTCACAGGTGTGCTGGATGAGTTTCCCCACATCTGGTCCAAGCGCCGGGAGCTGTTTGTGCTCGGTGTGATCATTACCTGCTTCTTCGGGTCCCTGGCCACCCTGACCTTTGTGAGTACCGTGACCCTCAGCCTTTGAGTCAGCCTCCCCAGAGGCAGGAGAACACTACCTGAAGCCGTGCCTTTCCCCCCATCCCACACGGTGCCCTGGCTTTGAGGCCAAAAGAAGGGCGTAGAAAAGGTTGTGGCTGCTTATAAAAAGCTTGCCATCAAGGATAAAAAGAAAGGTTGGTTCTGGTGGCACCTGTTTGTAGAATCTGTGCTAGTGATCCGGAGGCTCTTCACATTTTACAGGAGATCCTGTCAGATTTTAGGGTTGGCAGGATATCTGGAGAAAAACTAAGAATTGCTTTTCCAGTTTATTTCCAGTCCTCAGGGCTGCTTCCATGGCAATAGTGCCCTCATGTCTTCATATGCGGAACATCTGGAGGCTGGTAATGTCACCTTGTCTCCTCCAGAGAATTCATAATGGTGAAGGAGTTAGACCCTCTCCAGTATTTGCTTGTCTGTTTGTTGCTAGATGAAGCAAATACTGTGAAACGGGCATTAGATGGTACCCACAGGCAGCCCGGGCTTGTATTCTGTCTCAAGGAAGATTTTGCAGATAAGCATCTTCAAGCCATGACTCCAATGTCTGTGGAGCTTCAGTGGATGGTGACATCCAGAGCAGGACCCAGGGATTTGTGAGTTAGGACAGAAGGCAGAACCACGTGTGACCAATGTGCTCAGTGGGTCTGGTTTTGTGGGCCCTCTCAGATTCAGTCTTTAGGGACCGGGATTCTCCAAGGCAGAGTACACAGTAGGTGTTTGGTAAGTTGAAGAAAGTTGATCAAGGCTCTTTTGAGTTCATCTCTTAGAACTTAGTGGAGAGAGGAGTCAAGAAGAGAGTGCTCCCTAGGAAGGAAAAGATATCTGATGGGGTGACATCTGGCCCACCCTGAGAAGGCCAGTCCGAGAGATACTTATAATTAGGTCCACGATGGCATTTTCAGAATTATCTTTAGTGAAGAAGCTTCTTTTGGCCCCTGTGGTAAAGAGGAGGCAATGCCTCACAGGGTCCCTAACCAGGGTCCCGATCTCCTTTCCAGGGCGGGGCCTACGTGGTGAAGCTGCTGGAGGAGTACGCCACGGGGCCCGCAGTGCTCACCGTTGCCCTGTTAGAAGCCATTGCTGTGTTTTGGTTCTATGGTAAGATGCTTCCTTCTACCAGCCACTGTCCTTTCTATATCAGCCTGAAACCCCCAGAATAGAGAAGGGCTGATTTCCCTAAAAGACAGGGCAGTGTGCAAGATATCACCTCCTGGTGGACCTGTAAGATAAGCTCAGTTGAGCGTCTTCTTCCAAAGCAGGTCCCCATCTCCTCCACACTCTCTACAGCAGGTTGCTCATATCCTTGGAAGGACATTCTTTCCTTTCTGAATTTAAATGTCTATCCAGTGGAGACAGGCTAACGCGGTTCCCTAACAGCTCACCCACAGTGGATGTTTGAGATCCTGGCTGGCTCTAAGAATTGGACCCAACACAAGGAACTAGCACACAGTGGATGCATTTGCAGAGTGGACTGTTGTACAGAGTGGCCCTCGATTTAAATTTCGCAAGAGCTCCCTCCAAGCCCTGAGGCAGAGTTTAGGAGCTTAGTTTCTAGGGAAGAGGCAAGAATGTTCCTGTTTGGATTATCTGCCCTAAAAACAAAACAAAACAAAATAAAAACAAAAACAAACAAACAAACAAAAAAAACTCTCCTGGTCCTGGGATGGAATCTGATAAGGATGAAACCAACAAGAGCAGAGATAGTGAGTTGACACAGGTCCATTGGCAGGAGTCCCAAGAGCCTCCGGGTGGGATGGGGAGGGCACTGGCAACTGGAGTGAATAAAGACAGCCAGGTTCAGAGATGCCTGTCTTCATCTTTGAAATCAAGAAGTGATTACTTCATTCTGAAATGTATTCATTTTCCTAGTTTCTATGATAGTAAATCAGCATTAGCCTGTTTGTCATTCTGCATATCATCAGGAAGGGGTCCCCATATTGTGAGTTGCATGTGAGCTCAGTTTTTTAAAAGAAGTCCTCCCCACCTCCTCAGTAGTTCAGACAACCAAGTGTGTGCATCACTATAGACCTGCCCAAAGTATTGCTGGGTGCTCTCAGGGAAGTAAACACAGAACTACCTCCCTTCCCCGTCTCAATTTCTCACCAGCTGGGGTCTCTCTTCTACTTCCAGGCCAATTACCTTTATAGAGGAGCCGTGGTTGTGGCCTCGCACGTGAATGGACCATGGTGTGGTTAACATTTTCTCTTGGAAGTTCCCACTACAGGGTTAACATGGTCAAAGTCAGTCTCTGTTGGGCGGGCTGAGATCTTAGAAAAGCAGTGTGGGCACCAAGAGGGGCCTTTAGGTTTCTCCCCGCATGTCCGCCTCCTCTCCCACTCTGTGTTGCTGGCTAAGAAATGAAGTTCTGTGACAAGCCCCCCTGTCCCACTTTCAGACCAGATTGGTGCCCTGAGCCTCTCCCATGAGAAATTTCAGAGCTGCTGCTTCTCTGAGAATCAAGGGATCAGACAGTCCGTGTCCTCTCCCTGTCGATCAACCTCTCTCTCTTTCCGACGACTGTAGGCATCACTCAGTTCTGCAGCGATGTGAAGGAAATGCTGGGCTTCAGCCCTGGGTGGTTTTGGAGAATCTGCTGGGTGGTCATCAGCCCTCTGTTTCTCCTGGTGAGTTGTCATTTTCCTCCATCAGGCCCTAGAGAAAGGTCCACGTAAACACTTAGAAAAAATAAATTTTATTGAAGTGTAACATCTATAATACCGTGTTTCCCTGAAAATAAGACATCCTCTGAAAATAAGACCTACTTACAGGTTTCCTTCTGAGTGAAATATAAGGCATCCCCCAAAAATAAGGCCCCCCCCTAGGCTAAACATGAGAGATTTGGTCCACTGATTCTGAAAGAAATGGAGTCACAAGAAATTCACCAGGAAATTCAGGAATTGGATTGTTATGATGATTTTCCAGAAGATGATGACATGATTGTCATTGAATAAATGAGTAAATTCTTGATACTGTAGGATTCACAGTTTGTCTGGTTTGTGTTGACAACTACCGTTTCCTTTATTTTCATTTAACAATAAATGTGTACCGTATTCTTCTTCATGGAAAAATAAGACATCCCCTGAAAATAAGACCTAGCTCATCTTTGGGAGCAAAAATTAATATAAGACACTGTCTTATTTTCGGGGAAACGATAATAAAAAGCGTAATATGCTAATTAGACCGACATCCTTCCGGACAACCTTCCAGATGAAGCCGGGGCTGCCCCAGCGGGCAGGGACCAAGGCAGAGGAGGCGGCCACAGTGGTGACAGGGCTGAGCCCCTTGCACAAATTTCGTGCATTGGGCCTTTAGTTTATACAGAAAAGGGTACAAATCCTAAGTGTACATCTCAATGAAATTTTGTAAATTGAGCACACTTTTGTAGCCAAGACCATACCCAGAAACAAAAACAGAGCCAACACTCCTGAAGCCCCTCCTGTGTCCCCTCCCAGCCACTGTGACCCCCGTGGTTAATCACTCTTCTGACACCATCTGGGCCTCAGTCACCGTATTGCTTCATCCCCCTGTTCACTGATAGTGATAAATAACATTTATTGGACATTAAGGACCAGGCCTTAGTGCAAAACTTACACCCATTGCTCTTTTAATCCTCACAATAATTCTATGAAGTAGTGTAGTTCTAACACCCTATTGTACATTTAAGGAAAATGAGGCTTAGAAATGTTAAGTAAAGGATCCAAAGTTACATGACAAGGAAGAGCCGCTCAAGACTGGGGAAGGATTCATTGTGCTACTCCTGAGGCCCTGGAAAGGGTTCTAATAATATTGTGCCCATTAAAAAAAAAAAAAAAAAATATATATATATATATATATATATATATATATATATATATATATATATATATATATATATCAGAGAGGAATGGAGAGGGAGAGAGAGATAGAAACATCAATGAGGAGAATCATGGATTGGCTGCTTCCTGCATGCCCCCTGCTGGGGATCGAGCCCAAAATCCAGGCATATGCCCTGACTAGGAGTCAAACTATGACCTCCTGGTTCATAGGTTGATGCTCAACCACTGAGCCACATTGGCCAGGCAAGCACACAAATAATTTGCATTACTATCTTCTTTACGACTATAAAATAATTAAAATAAATCAAGAGCAATAATGATTTCAACATAGAGGATACTAGATAAAAACTGATATTTATAATATGCCATTGGTTTCTCTAAAAACCAAACTGAAATAAGAAAACTCAGAACCTGCGTGTTGGAAGCATGACATGGAGTTTTTCTTGGTCAAAATTTTCACTGAATTTTCAAGTAAAGAGCATATTAAGCTGTGTTTTCCCTCCATTATTCCTTCCATTGTGCAGGCCTACAGCAGGCAGTCATTCATTGTTGAGACGCCTCAGGGCTCAGCCAGCCTTGTTGAAACCCCAGGCTTAACGCAGAAAGCAGAGAGTCCCAGACAGGAGAGAGGAGGAACACAGACTCAGGAGTCCAAATCCTCTTCAGGTCTTAAGAACCTTATTATCACCTCTGGACAGAGGCCCCTTCCATCTGACCACAACCAGTCACAGCTGAGGAACGCAGGAGGAAATGAAAGCAACGCAAAGAGGACTAGGAAGCCCAAAGCCTGGCGGCGGTGGTGGAGGGGCGGCCAGCTTATTGCTCCACCGTCTGAGCTGAGCGGCCCAAACACTTCTGATGGGTGCCCCACTCTTCCCCTTTGCCCTGAATGGGGAGCTGTAATTCCCTTAAATAACATTCGGAGGCCTTGGCATCCCCACGGTGGAGGTTAATGTGGAGGGGAGGGGGAGGGGGAAATCAAGATAAGCACCTGGCTGTTTTATTTTCGCAGAAAAGTAGGCACAGAAATCAGTGAATTTTGTGTATGAGAGTTCAATCTAAGATATATCACATTTGGGGAATTTCCCGAAAGTATCTTAGCTTTACACTTGCTGTTCATCGTAATCAGAACTATCTCTAGTCTCACAGATGTTATTTTTAATGTTCCTTGGAATTTCTGTTCTAGTTTGTCATTTTCAGTTTTTTGATGAGCCCGCCACAGCTACGGCTTTTCCAGTATAATTATCCTCACTGGAGTGTCATCCTGGGTTACTGCATAGGAACCTCATCTTTCATCTGCATCCCCACATACATGATTTACCAGCTGGTCATCACTCCGGGGACACTGAAGGAGGTGTGTGCATGTGTGTGCATGTGCGTGTTCAGACTGGTAACTGAGGAGAAAAGGGTTTGCATGCTATGCTCTATTCACAGGAGGTAAGTCCCCCACATATATCATGCAGACCCCTGATATACCAGGCATTCTCCATAAACCTCAAATACAACAGCAAAGGAGCAAGCTGGAAACTCGAGAGCACCGTAGCGCGCAGTGTGGGATGTGAGTAGCATCCTAGACTTACCAGATAACTATGTTGCCTCCTGCTTGCCATTGGCCTGGACATCAAATTGGTGGTGTCTGGGGCAACATACACATTTTGATTGAAGCGGAGATTATGGTGGGAAATGCCCATGGCCATTTTTCTAACAGCAATGTAACAAGGACTATTTTGAAAACCATCACCAAATAAGGATGATGCCATAACATCATGGTTTTAGCTTAAGCCATTTGAGTTTTAAAAAGTTGCCATTATAGCAAGGTTCGTTTCTTTAATTAATAATGGACTGCAAAATGTTTAATACCAGAACCTGACAATTTGTATAAGACTGTGTCTTTTTCCAAGCATCTTCATGTAGATTATCCCATTTTGTCATCAAAATACCTTGTGAGGTGGGTGGGCAAGTGTTTTTGGGAGGCAAATATATGGAGGCTAAGAATAATTCTGCTCAAAATCTCCTACTTCAGTGGCTTGTCCAAGGACACACAGTACAGGGAGGCTCAGAATGATGCCTGGGCCAACGCATTTGCACTTTAGGTGCAGTTTCTTTGTGTCCTCAGTTTGCCATTAAGAGTTTGCTAAAAATAGTCATTGGTGCTAGAGGTTAGGGAGGATGGGTTGCTATTTTTCATCCTGTGCTGCTAAAGTTGGTAGTCCAGGTCAACTACGAGTGTGTGGGTGAATGTTTCGCAGGGAATAAGTTCAAAGGGGAAGAGTGGTTCTTGGGAAAAGCTAGGAGGGATGGTACTCTATCATGACCTGAGAACTGAGTTGGGATGGTCCGTGGGCTCTTAGAGAACACTACACTCATCTTCCTAAGACATTTAAAAAGAAACAGGAAGCAAGAGAACACAAGGCAATTAAACATCAGCTCTTCTTGAAAACTGAGTTCATTCATTTTTATTTTTTTTTTTACAAACAGGAAAACCGAATTCTAGGTGAATAGAAAGAACTCTGCAGGGAATCAGTAAATTCCTGCATCCAAACCCGTCTTGTCACCACCTCATTTCTCCCAAAGGGCCTTGGGCTCTGGTGGTGCTTGAAATACATGCTCAGACCTACCTAGAGCCACTACATTTGTTTCTTCAGTTTGTCCTTTATGGCAGTCATGATGGTCCACTGGTTCTATGGACTCAAACCCAGAGGCCAAGGTCATGGGTGGGAACTCAGGTTAATAAATGTCAGTATCCTTTGGTCACAGACTGCACCTCGAATATTTGTCATCTTTCTCTCAAATCTCCCCTACCCTCCATTTCCCGTTGGTCATAAGGAAATGCCACCCAAAGATTATATAATTAAGAGAGCTCAGATCCATTAATAATTCAGGTGAGGCTGATTGTAGGGCTATTAGTAATAGAACAAGGGAAATTGCCATAGGTAATCAGAGAGGGAACAGTGGATTATCAGTAAGTATCATGATACAGCCAATTAAGGAGGACTGTGAGGGACAAACCTAATCAGCTATAGCAAGTTATGCACCTTCTCTGAGCCTGAGTTTCTTCATCCTTAAAATGTGCTCATTGGACTGGATTAACATTGGCCAAACGTTAGTATATTTTAAGGAGCAGTAGTTCCATGGGATATCCATAGGCCTGATGCTTGGGGAAAAGATTTGGTTTCAAAAGTTTTGGCAAATGCTGGATTAAGGCAAGTGAAATCGATTTCTTTTCTTTTCTTTTTTAAAAAATATATTTCATTTATTTTCCACAGAGAAGAAGGGAAAGAGATAGAGAGCTAGAAACGTCAATGAGAGAGAGACTTCGATTAGCTGCCTCCTGTACACTCCCTACCGGGGATGTGCCTGCAACCAATGTACATGCCCTTGACCGGAATCGAACCAGGACCTTTCAGTCTGCATACAGACGCTCTATCCACTGAGCCAAACCAGTTTCGGCAATAGATTTCTTTATTGCATGACTTCGTAGAAGCCATAACATGCTGCATGTTTGGTCTCTGAGAGGGATAAAGCATGCCATGTTTTTTTTTGTTTGTTTGTTTGTTTGTTTGTTTGTTTTTTGGCAAGAACACCAAGGGACTATAATTCTTCATGAATACCATACTCGATGGTCTGTAACATTTTATCTATGAGAGAGGGAGAGTTCATATAAATTTTGGTATGGGTAAAAAAGAAATGACTAAGAGAAAGGTAAATTGTTTACCTCTTCTGGGCCATAGCCATACACAAGGTTGGAGTTTGTGGAGTGAGCCCCTAACTTGCTCACCTGTAATTGGGAGGGTCTCACATGCACCTGCAGCCTGCAAGTCTCAAGGTTGGGAAATCAGCTTGATTGGGTCATTGACAGAAGCCCCTCCCTCATGACTTACACAGTGATGCTGGTCCCTCATAAGTAAGCGTCCAACAGCGATCCATTGCTTAGATTACCACCTGGCAGAAGGCCAGGATTCAGCACTTATCTTTTCCCCAAGCCCTGTGTGGCTACAGAAAACCTCCTGCTAAATAAATAAATAAATAAATAAATAAATAAATAAATAAATAATGCATTTTCCCAGGTTGTCAAAGGCATGTTATAAGCCTGCAGAGGTTCCATTGAAGGCTTATCATTTTCTCCCATTCGTGATATAATGACTTTCATAATTAGTTTCCAGATGCTTACAGTTCCTGAATATTCCATTTTAATTCCTACCTGAGAATGAATAAATTGGAAATTTCTTTCTTAAGGAAAGTCAAAGAGACTATTCCAATTTACTATTAGATGCTATTCAAACTCTTTTTTAATATTAATGTTGAAATGTTTTTTTCAATACTGTTAAGTTACAAGAATGTTTGTAACATCTTATTTTCTTCCCAACAGCGTGTTATTAAAAGTATCACACCGGAAAAACCAACAGAAACTCCGTGTGGGGACATCCGCTTGAACACTGCATAAAACGCTTCAATGAGAGGAAAGTGGTTTTCCAGCAACCTCTTCCCCCAGTTCTGACAAGTCGCACCTCATCTTCTCCCTCTCAGTGAATGAGTTTCCAGCTAAACCTGACAGTGGAAGGGCCTTCTTCATAGAGACACAGCCCCAAAACATTGTGGTGCCCAAACTCTTATGGCCTCCAGCCACTTGTTGCTGTGAAGTCTCTGGACAGATTGCCATGTTACACTCTGTGATGCAGCTGAACTGGACTATCTTGGATGCATGAAGATGTGTAGGGAGGGTGGAAACCACCATATGCCAGTTAGGATCAGGTGTGGCATCACATCTGTGAATGTCTCCTGTATCTTTTCTTGTTATGATCATTAGTATTGTGGGGGGATAGTAAGAAGCGAAGGAAATTCCTTGACAAGTGGAATAAGGGAAATGGAGACAATTAAGCAAGGCCAAACTATTTGAGCAATTTACAGCCAATGAATCACAGCTAATGAATCACAAGGTTTAATCTTCCCTAATCAAGGACACTTGGGAGCAAACTGTTTACACATTCCAGACTGTCCCAGGACTGCTGGTCTCAGTCCCTCTTCAATGACATTCTTTAAAAATAAAAGCAACCAGAAAATAACCCGGATCCCTCTATGTGAACATTTTGATGACTCAACATACTGAAGGACACACCTGGAAAGCTAGTGGATATTCTGTTAAGACTCTCCTCTGAGATCTCCCCAAGGATTCCCGCTGCCAAAGATAAAAAGCCTCACACTAATGCACACCCACGCCTTGTGTCTCTGCTGTCTTTCTCCTAAACTCTAAGGGTTCCTGCAGGACTTGCAACCAGGGGATTAATGGGCAATGGCAGCTCATCCCAGGCTAATCCCCTGAACCTGTCTCCAAGGCCCCCTTTTCTCTGACTTTCCAGTGAGCTAACTGCAGCCCCACACTGGTTCACCTATTTCACTGTGACTTCTATTTCTCAATGAGCCAAAGAAGTCCTGCCTAGGCTCTCTCCTGTTGCTTCTTCTACCAAAGCCCTTCCTTTGCTTCACTGTCCCAGCGTTAATAAACTTATTCTCAAAATCACCTGGACTCATGTTGTGAAATATTTCCTGCACTGAGTCAAGAACCCACATACTACTGGCTGGCCCAGAGCAGACCCACTCCAGGCCTAGACCTTCTCTGGTAGCAGTATCAGATATTTGTTTTCTTCTAAAGTTGTCATTGTTCATGGATGCATATACCATGTAGGAGAAAACAGGAATGCTGTCTTGCTAGCCATATATTTTCTGAATAGCATGGAATTCTATAGCTAGATCCACTAGAGCCATGTAGTCCAGGTGTTGCTGTGGACTCAGCAGAGGAAGATATAAGGAACTAAAGTGAGAAATAACTTGTACTTGTACATGTGAGCATGTACGTCTGTGTGTACTGTGTTTCAGGATATCCTTACTGGTCTTTATCCCAACATTTTGTGCCCATTACAAACTATATGAATTTCCTCTAATTTTTCTTACATTAACAAGTTGCTCCCACTCAACTGTGGATATATATTATTTGAAGAGCATAATTATTACAACATGCTCTGCCACCTTTTCCTTTCCCAGTGACACTACTTGAGCTCACTCACCTTTTTTATGGGCCAGACTTTAGCATTTGCTGAACTTGATTGCCATCTTCCTGTCTCTCTCTGCTAAACATTTAGGATAATGTGCCACTGTGAATCTGGGCTATTTCATTAGTCACTGTGGCTTGACTGTGAACTACTTTGAAGATGGATATTGACAAATTCCTCTTCGGTGATCAGTGACTATCTGATTAAAGCTGTGAACTTCAAATAGCTCGGGTTTGATCATTGAGGTTACTTTGCTTTGTGAAGAGAGGAAAAACCCAGTTCTCATTTATAGGGCATGTAGATATGGCACTTTGACCTAAACCGAGGTCATCCTCAATCCAAAAGTAAGGGAGAGTCTGGGATAGCCTTCAAATAAGTGCACCTCCCCCAATTCCTGGACCCTTCCTCTCTGAATACCAGGATTGTGAGCCCTCCAGATAGTTTAAGTAAGGCTGGTTGGGAAAGGTTAAGTGAATAACCTTTCAAATTCTACACATTGCCCTTAAATATAGATCCAGTAAACTGAGCTTCAGTGGTGTATGACTCTCAGATGCATGGTTAGAAAAGCAAATTATATCTTGTGTAAGATTTTTTTATCAAAATCTTAAAGGGGATAAAGCTTAATTAATGATAAAACAACTCAATTATCTAGCTCCATATCACTTCAGTCCTATATATAAATCAAATTTAATTTTAATAGTTTTATGGAAAGACTATCCATGTAGCAGAGGCTTAGTTTTATCCATTTATAGTTCTTTCTTCCTTATCTGAGAACAAGGCCTGGGAATGAGAATGGGGTGGGTCTGACTACAGAAAAGCAATAGGAGGTTGAGTAGTGATCCAGGTGAGGGCAAGGCTGGAGTGAGAGCAGGGCAAAGTGGCAATATTACAAAGGAGAATCTTGTTGGCACATTGGCTCAGAGGACAGAAGAGAAGGAAGGAGGTGGAGATGACACACAGGCCAGGAATTTTCTATCCTGATTACAGGCTATTGTAATATTCTTGCCAACCAGGGACTTGGACTGATATAATGAGGAAAGGCTGTTTTCTTCTAAGCTATTCTCCTAATATACAGAGGCTACAATCCAGGCTAATGTGACATATAGAATATTGAGTTTAGTAAATAGATAAAATAGGGAACTGATTTGTGTCTCAGAAAGTGAAAGCTTAAGATCTAAAGAGCCTTTTCCCATTTGTTCACATCACAGAGTTGTTCTCTTCTTCCTTCTTTCTCTCTTCCTGCCCACCCCCCTCCCCAGTTCCCACAAAGGAGAGCAGACAGACCTCTACCAGTATCTACCATACTTCCTTTCTCTCTCTGCTTTTCCATGGCCTCTCCTGATATTTTTCCCCACTGGCTCACCCAGGCTCCCTTCTCCTTCTGGGCTCCTAACTGGCACTGGCCAGTTAACCAAGCTGGGTCTGACCAACAGCCAGCTCCTGCTACTTTGGCTTGCATGCAACAGAAAGCTACCAGGGCCACTGTACCTGCAGGCACACACATGCCCATCTCCACCCCACCCCACCCCAAGTAGTGCCAGCACAAGAGAGGAAAGAGAGTGAATGATGGTTTGGGGGTTAAGGCTCATGGCTCAGGGGTCAGCAAGATTAATGGCCTCTGGTAAATTATGCCACATTTCTGAGGTCCAGGCTTCAGATCATAATATGGGGAATGATAATAACACCCCCTCATAGAGTTGTTGTGAGGCTGACTATCATGGGAGTAGGTTATGGTTAGAACCATACTGCATAGTACCAATGCTACACCCTGTCTACTTTCTTTGGCAGTTTGCTAAACCAGACCTGGCAAGGGAAAAGCCATCAGCAGGTGGATGGCAGGAAGAGAGGGTGAACAATAGCTGATCGCCCAATTCCAGTGAGGACTCAGATTACTTCCACAGCTCTGTAAACTGCCACACACCTAGCCCCACTTTGGGAAGCAATCTATTATGGACAATCAGAACTTTCTCTTCTAGAAACTGAGAGTGTTTCCACTTGTGGAATCCAATTTGTGTGCATGTGGACCAGTGTCCAGGTGCCAAGAAGGAGCCTGAGCCCTCCTTGAATCCCCTTTCCTATACTTAATGAGAAATTGAGGTCAGGTGACTAAGTGATTCCTCACGGTCATGGTTAATGACAGGACAGGGCCCTCTACTGAGTCACAGATCTCTTGTGCAATGATAAAAACCTCTGACTGGCAGCTCAGACTATGGAAACAGGCTTTGTTTGAATCCCAGCTCTTCCACTGATGATAGCATAACTTTGGGGTCTATAAATAGGTTTCTTCACCTGTAAAATAAATGTCATCATAATATACAAACATGGAAGCATTCAATAAGCATGTTGTTGCTTGTTATCATTAATAGATGCAAAAAAAAAAAAAAAAAAAAAAAAAAAAAAAAGAGCTCAAGAGAAATCACGGCTGGTCTTAATCCCAAGCTCCAGCATTATCTGTCTTCTTGTTCTCAAGACTAATCATCTCACAGAGCTAACTGAGATTTAGGCAGGCTGTCCTGGCTTTGGACTATAATTCTTTCATTTGTTTTTGTTAATATTTAATACCTACAGTAGGTACCTATATACCCACCCCTCAAGAACTAGGACACTGGCATTGCCATTGAAGCCTTGAGTGCCCCTTCACTCCAATTCCACTCCTTGGTAACCATTCTTCTGGATTTTACATTTATGGTTTCCTGCCTTGGTTTGACTATATCTGTACATCTCATAAATTATATGAGTTAGTTTTACATGTCTTTAACCTTAATATAACTGTAATCATGCTAGATTTTTAACTTGTCTTTATTGCTTAAATTATTTTCGTTATTTATCCATACTAATGCAATTGTATTTTCCACTGTGTAATAGTATTCCCATTGCATGAATATGCCACATCTAATCTATTCATTCTCTTGTTTATATAAAATTGGATTATTTTATTTTCTATTAGAAATAGTGCTTCAATTTTTGTGCATGACCTTGATATACATGGAATACTCTTCATGCTCAGTTACGTCTATGGCCCATGCTGTGTCATAGATAAGTATGTCATTGCACCTCCTTACATTTTTATCAGCAGTGTATAGAACTTCTCAGTTTCTTTAAGGTTTGGATTATCCATTTTTCAACCTGGTGATTAATCAATCAATCACATGTAGATAGAGACATGGTACAGTGAGCATAGATATGCTATTTTGGCATATGTTGTTCTTCCTGTGCTATGAAAACCATGTTTTGTGATCTCATTCCTTTTATAAGTATTGGTTAAGACTTAGTGTCCTCGATTTCCATGCTTTCACTGACCTCTGTGGGAAACCAGTTACATCTGCTGAATAGTTGGGGCAGCCTGGAACATGGTGGCTGCCACACTCCACACCGCATAGGGCAACGTGTCCAGTCTGAAAAAGTAGACTCTCATTCTCATCCTGTCAGACTAAATACAGTAAAAAGAAGAAAGACAAGTGGCTGTAAAAAGAAAAAGCAGAAGTGTAACTCTGGCCCCCAGTCTTTTTCTCTGGGGAAAATAAGAAGTTGCCAGCCCAGGTGCTGAGCAGAGTTTTGGTTGAAAGAAAAATCAAGTGGCCGATGGGTGTAGTTTACCACTATTTAGAAGGAACAAGATGATTATCATCATTCCATTCAGTGAAGCTTGGTTTTCCTGATCCTTGACGACATTCCATGTGTCTTCATCATCCTAGATTACTGGTTTCACTCAGGAACTCTGGGAAGAGGGTGGGAGGAGGTTTGGAGCTTCTTCGGGACACACTGCAAGAATATTGAGCTGCTTGTTTGGGGAAATAAATGATTGCAGGAGACAAGCGCTCTCGTTTTTCTTATGAAGATTGCACTCTTGCTGGACTGGCCAATTCGGTGTCTTGGCCAAGCAGAAGGGCCCTACCCTTCAATAGCTCTGAGGACTCAGCTCCTAAATATCTGGTCGAACTAGAAATTCAGATGTAGTACCTGAATGTGAATAATGAAGATGTACTTGGCGAAATACAGAACCTCTGTACAAAGGTGAGGCGCGGGAGGGAAGAAATCCATCTACCGCTTCCACCCCTGGCATTGCTACTGCTACTGCTCTGGCACCCCCACTTCTGCCTCCCTCCGCCTCCTCTTCCTTTTGTCTTCTCTCCTTTGTCTCTTCCTCCTCT